GCAAAACATTAAAAAAAAAACAGGTACTCTAGTTCCTAGGTCCCTTTGTTAAAATATATGAGACGTTTCATACACATTTCATACACGATCATTTTGTATTTTGGTTCAGAAAATTATGAAGAACTGTGATATTTCCTTGAAGTGATGCTGTGACTTTTTGTCAATAGTTAAAGAATTACACATTTTACAAAGAGCAGTATTAATGATTTATAGATTTCCTAACACATTACTGACCTTAGTTTTTAGACCTAAATATTTCTTCACATGGGCACTTAACCTCCTAGGACCTGTCGTCCACATATGTGGACATCACATTTTGGGATGTCTAGACCAAAATACAAAATTTTACTCTACAAGGGCCTGATAACCACTTATAAGGACAATATACTGCAAATGTTCTATTGAAATTTAAAACAAATGTCCTCATATGTTAATCTTATTTTTGTCAGAGATAAAATCAGGTAAAAAAAACCAAAATCTGTAAATTCTTTGTTTTTATATTCATCAGGTCCCAAACAGCCCAAATAGCAAAGAGAATTTAAAAATGCTGCCATGAAAAAGTTTGGGTCTTAGGAGGTTAAACTGAAGGAAAAAACCCGATGATGAGAGGTGAGCGCTTCAGTTTGTCACAAAGTGGAATGAATGTGATTGGTTGAACAGGTGTTCTTGCTCTGTGTTCTGTTTGTTGCGTTTCCATCAGCGTCAGAGACTCAGCAGCAGATTAGAATCAAGTATCATAACATTTATACATTTAATAAATACACGCATGTTCTCGCGACAATGCGACGCACTGTTTGCTCTTCATTCAGTGATTTTAGTACAGCAGGCTTCACATGGTGCACATATAAAACATATTTCTCCTGAACAGAGCCGCTTGCTGTGAAATCGTGGAGCTTCCAGCTGATTTTAAACCTGAACGATCAAACCTGCTCCGACAGTTTGAGCTTTTCTTCTCTCAGCTGTCCTGCTGGAAAACTATCAGCACAGCTGATGAACGACCGTTTTTTAGTTTCAGAGATATGAGGGATATTTCCCAAAATCTGACCTGCATCGACATCGATCCTCCACTGAGTGTCCGTTGTTACCATGGTTACTGCACACGCTGTGTGAATTAAACAGCTGACACTGCGGTAACTCCCGGCGAGTGTTTACATTTTCATTACAAAAGAATTATCTGACTTGACTTAAGTTAACTTGGATAACTTAAGTTAGGGAGTATCAGAGCTAACGTCAACGTGAGCTGTTTCCTCGGAAATCTCGACTCGTGTTGACGTTCGAACGACAAACTGGTAAGAACTGCACATCACTACACTGAAATATACAGGCTATTACTGAAATACACGCGCTATGTTATAAACTCTAGTGGTACTATTAACATGTTTAGTTATAAAGGACACCTTCTTGCCTTTAGTCTTATTCATGAGCATTATTAATTGTCTTCTAACACCCAGAAGTCAGCACGATGTGTTTCATAGTTTCTAACAAGCATTTTACATCTCAACGTAACATGATCGAAACACCGACATCTGCTTATTGAACAAAAACAAAAAACAAAAGAACACAAATCAGATGTGAATTTGATTTTTTTTTTTCTAATTTTAATTAACTCCAAAAATTCTAATAGACAGCTGAGCTCAGAATAGAATAATCATCTCTGGACAGGCTGGAGGCTTTCAATATCCACCTACTGTACAACTATGTGCTGAAACTTTAATCTGAGCCAAACTGATTTTCTCAGGAGCAAATAAAATAGTGCTATTTAATGAAGCCACTGATGTCTCAGCGGACGCAGTATTTTAACCCAGCCACGCGTGACGGACACTCGCGCTCATACCAGGTCAGAGCACCGACGGAGCTGCGTTGCATAAGCCGCTGATCATATGAGTCTGATTACTGCTTTGGCAGGTCTCCTTTTAAAGTGAACATGAAAATCATTTATACCCTGCTTTCAAAATCTGACATATTACTGTGTTGTTTAATAAATAAGTGTTTACAACTTTAAGAACTTTTCTGCCATCGTGTGCCAGTCCAGAGTGTGACGTCACAGGGTGTTCCCTGGCTGTACTGCCTTCCTGCTGTAATATTCAGGGTTGTAAAGCACACGAGAAATGAGGACTGTGTGGAAGAGAGAAAGTGTTAAATCCATGTGAGAGCAGTGCTCCATAGCAAGGGTGTAGATTTGGTTTCGGCGTTGGTGGGGACCGAAGCCTGCCCTGTTTCTTTTTTTTTTCCTTTTTGTTTTTGCTTCTTGATAAAAAGAGGAGAAACATACTTGCCTACATATGCTATTCTACGTGCTTTTAAACCATTTAAAATCACAATTCATAGTTCTATATGTGAATTATATAATGTTAAATTACTATTAAACAAATGACTGACTAAGTATTTCAGGCTTTAGTTTACTTCAGCCATATTCCATATAAATCAGGTATCATACAAAAGTAAAAATAGCTTCAAATACAGTCATGACAATAAAAGAATATGACTTTAAGTACTTAACAACATTACTTCAGTTATAGTACACCAACATCTCTGACACATTAGCACTAAGGGAACACTGAATGACCTGCTGGTTTTTGTCCATAAAACTACTGATGTAAGATGACCACAAAGTAAAAGATCTCTCAGCAAAATTATGCAACATTTTAGGCACTATTGCCCCGATCAACTCAGTGAGCTGGGATTTTTTATTCTAAACATGGACTACTGTTACAGCAACAGACATGGACTACATGCCCCACACAACAAATCTACGCCCTTGCTCCATAGTGTAAATTAGCCTTTAAACATGTAGTATTTCATGTCCAATTTAAGCTCTTGGTCCAACACCTCCTCTGAAATGTGTTCATTCACAATCATTTTAAACTTAACACTTGCAACTGTAGGATGTTGTGGTGTGAGGGGTTTTTGTTTTTTTTACAAAATCTTTTCTTTCACTGATATAACAGTAAACGTTGTGAGAAAACTGAATTCACAGACACTTCAGTTTTTTTCCTACAAACTTTATTAACCAAAACACACACAAAAGAATTCAGAACTTGGCTGGGATCCACGAGGGCAGAAGATCTACTCTTGTGTTTGACTCACGTGTGCTCACTCAGTTATTTGACAATAATGGCTGATTGTAAGCAGTGTTGGTCAAGTTACTTGAAAAAAGTAATCAGTAACTAATTACTGATTACTTCCCCAAAAAAGTAATCCCGTTACTTTACTGATTACTTATTTTCAAAAGTAATTAATTACTTAGTTACTTTTTAAAAACACGATTTACAACCTGAAGAGGTGATAAAGTGATAGATCTTTCAGCCCAATTCTACTTTTTCTACATAATCCATCATACAAAATGTAATCAAATGGAAAAGTCCCTTTTTAAAACTTTTTTTATTAGTTTTAATCTTTTAACTTTATGCATCAAGCAAAAATGTAATTATATGCAACATTCACTGCCTGGAAGAAATTTGTTTAATATTTAAACCTTTTTTCTGCACATTCCAGCACATAAATTTTTATTTTTTTTTTGTGTTTACACTCAGTCTTTAAATAGATGCAAGTAAAACACAGCAGAAAATAAATAAAGTCAAAGACTGAGCGGTCCTTTTGCTCTATTTTCACCTGTAAAGCAGGAGCAGGGTAGGCGGAGGTTTACCCTGGTGCAGGTGTGCCGCAGCGGTCAGTGGAAGGATATGGCAGTTTCTCTGTGAATTTCCCATTACGTGGTTGCGCACTCGGAGCTTGCTCGGAAGTTTAGGGGTTTTTTTCGCTGTAAAAAGTTTTCTTCCCACGCACAACGGACACTAATGTTTTTGTCACTTTTTATGGAATCAAACTCAAAGTAAGGTCAGTACTTCCACGCTTTAAACGCTGCATGCTCATACTCTCTCCAGTACTCGATATGTGATCCATTGTTGATCTGCAGACAGCTGTTGTCACAAATGCAGGTTTTTTATTTCTTGTATAATAATTCTTCATAATGAAACATGAAAGCTATCATTTGAAATACACTACTGCTTAGTTTAAATTTCCAAAACACATCCAATTTTTGTACAAACAATCTGTGTCGGGTCGGCATCGTCCATATCAGCTTGAGTTTTATTTGGTATCAGATCAGAAAGGAATTTAGTATTGCGCCAACAATAAAGCTTTAATTCCCAAACTTTTGAGATAAAGTATTTCTTATTCTTTATTGTATTTTCCTATTTAAGCTTGTGAATGGTTTCTTATTCCTTGTCCTTAACGTGTTATTAACATGCTGAACGTTATAAATACTTTTATCCTGTAGAGAGAGACAAATATCACTGTTACACTGTGTTCATCTTCCTTCTTGACAGAGTAGCTGTCACAAAGTAAAGTTCCTTAGAAGGAAACGGGAGACTGAAAAGTTTTAAGTAGGCAGAGTATGGCTAACTGGCGTTTTATGATGATATATTAATAAAGAATTTCAACCATGCAGCAAATCTGCCAAGAAGAAGAAGTGTCCACACACTTTAATAATAGCAGTCCATTTCTTTAAACCACTTTCTTATTCTGAGAGTATTGCAAACAAATACTCACTTAGTGCTCTGCATTAGGATGTCTCTCCTTACTTTGTACCTGTGACTGTTTTGGAATTATTCCTCTTATTGTTTCAGGTCAGTCATCCTGTGTTTTGCCTTGAGCTTTTAAATACCACAAATAGCAATAGGTAAATATTTGAAAAGTCGTCAATCTGACCTGGGTCCTGGAGAAAATTGCGACCCAGATAAGGGCTCTAGCATGAGTAGTGGTCAAAAGAAAGCAAAAAAGGTATACTGGGGACAAACTGAGCCAATTCTGCTAAGCCTGGTGCATAGAGCAAAACTATCAATATGCTATTTGTAACATTTTTGTGTGGTGGTGTGCCGTGTGATCTTTTGAATGTGAAATATGTGCCCTGGCTCCAAAAGCCAGGAAACATTGGTTTATGTCATGTGATCATGAGTGTGATGTCACAGCTTGTTTATGCAGGTGCACTGCAGCAGAGGTTATAAGAATAAGCCGTAGTGCGGGAGTAGGCATTTTCACGATGGCACGGTATTACAGGACCGAGGAAGTAGTGGACATCCTGATGCGCTCCGACAGCGAGGATCTTTCCTCTTCACCCGCCCAGAGTGACTCTGATTCCGAGGATGACACGGAGGAGTCGTCTCTCCACACCGATCAGCAGGAGTCGCCTTCTGATTTTTCTACTGGAGATGAGAATGAGGGGGAGACGCACAAGGAAGCAGCGGCGTGGACTGCCAAAAATGGAAAGAAATGGTCCCCGACAAACACCGAGACGCTGCGCTACGTCGCAGCACCCACGGGGCTTATTCCAGGACTAACCCACTACGCCGTCGCCCGAATTTCAGACCCACTCTCCAGCTTCAGGTTGTTCCTAACCGATGAGATTATACAGCATATCGTTTCAATGACAAACCTTCATGGCAGACGGGCAATCTCAGAATGGAGAGATTTGGACAGCGACGAAATGCTGGCTTATGTGGGGCTGCTCATTTTGGCCGGTGTATACCGGTCAAAACACGAGTCAATCAAAAGCCTTTGGAGTGAGAAAACGGGAAGGAGGATGTTCCGGGACGCGATGTCCCAGAAAAGATTTTCGCACATTTGCAGGGCCCTCAGATTTGACGACAAGCTCTCCCGACCTGGACGCTGTACCGACAAATTGGCTCCCTTTCGGCAGGTATGGGACATGTGGGCACACCGCCTGCCGATGTTGTTTAGTCCAGACCGAGACCTTAAGGTGCGGTTTCCGCCAGTACATCCCCAAAAAGCCTGCTAAATACGGCATAAAGATCTGGGCAGCCTGCGACGTCAAGACATCTTACGCCTGGCGGCTGCAGGTTTACACCGGGAGAGCAGCGGGCGAACCAGCCGAAGTAAATCAGGGGATGAGGGTCGTCCTGCAGATGACCGACGGGCTCCAGGGACACGTCGTGACATGCGACAACTTTTTTACCTCATTTGAACTGGCAGAGGAACTCCTCAAGAATAAAATGGCTCTGGTCGGCACAATTCGCCAGAACAAAACAGAAATTCCACCCGTTTTGCGCCAGACCAGAGGGAGAGCCGTCTATGCCTCCACCTTTGCCTTTTCATTGAAACACACCCTAGTGTCCTACATTCTAGAGCTGGGCGATATATCGAGTTTTTAAAAAATATCGATATATTTTTATACAAGATATAAGATGTGACAATATCCTTTACATCGATATAGTCTATGTTACGTTAGGGTTAGGGCGTCAACGTGTTAGCTAGCTAACCACGCTAACGAGTTAACCACGCTAACGCCATGCAGCCCAGAGGTGCTGCACGGACTAAAATCCTTGCATTCTCTCAAAAGTTGACAGCGCGCCTTATGTATGAATTCTGATTGTGCTTGATGGCCGCGAACCGATTTTATGTGGAACACGGCGCTCAGCAATCTGTCAAAAAATGTTTTAGTACAACTTTGGTAAGCTACGGAGCTGCACCACTTGATGGATTGTCGGAGCATTACGGCTGAGCCTCGCGGAGTGATACGTACTGTGCTTCAACGTAATATTACCCTACTGTGTATAAGGACCATAAATGGCACCTGTTAAGAGACGTGGTTGCGAAGCGGATTTCAAACTCCAGGTACACGCGGTACAAGTTCGGAACAGAGCAGCTGTGAAATCTGTCTTTGTTATTATGCTCAGCGTCTTTTAGTTTACATTTTAACTGCACAATTGTGAGCTTTTTGTTATGCACAAAAACAACATTGTTTTCTTTTATTTATGGAGCATTATTATTTAATAAATGCTCATAATTTATGTTTGAGTAAATTTTATGTATGCTCTATGTTAATAAAAGTGCCTGTGTGACATCTGGGACACAGCTTTGACTAAGAACTCTCTTTTTGTTCTTACTTTATGGCCTTTAAAAAATATATCGAGATATATATCTTATATCGCCATCCAGCTAAAAAATATCGAGATATGAATTTTGGGTCATATCGCCCAGCCCTACTACATTCCTCGACGGGGCAGGAATGTGCTTTTGTTGAGCACAAAACATCGCAGGCCGGAGGTCAGCAATGGACAAAGAAAAAAGCCGGTGATCATTGACGACTACAATCGATGCAAAGGTGGTGTCGACAACCTTGATAAGGTGGGTGTCATTACGCATCAGTTACGCACACCTTTATTCATTTTTGCTCATATATTCTTGTGTAAAATATACAGAGGTTTTATGTTGTTGTTGTTTTGTTAGGTTGTCGGCACCTACTCCTGCAGGAGACGGACCAATCGATGGCCAATGGCCCTCTTTCATAACGTCATAGACGTCTCCCTCTACAACGCCTTCGTGCTGTGGACCTCCGTAGATCAGGCCTGGCATCAGCAGAAGTCACACAGGAGGAGGCTGTTCATAGAAGAGGTGGGAGAAAGCCTGATCAAGCCTCATTTGTCAAAAAGAGAGCGCCTTCCCCGCTCATCAGCCGCTGCTGAATTAGTCAGAGATGCGCAGGATGGTGCTGCTGCAGGCCCCTCTGGAGTGACAGATCCCAAGGGCAGGAAGTCCTGTGAGCTCTGTTTTGAGAAAAGGAGGCGAGTCGGAAACACCTGCAGCAAATGTGGAAAGTTCACCTGCCGAGCCCACAGCAAATTTGTCTGCAGCAACTGCTCTACCTGAGCAAGACATTTACCCCCCGGCCACACACAGCCCCCCCACCCTCTCACTAGCTCTCTCTTTCTCTCTCATACATTTCCCCATTCCCAACAACAATATACATGTTCTTGTTCATCGTTGAAAAAATAAATGTTTATTTGGTTCAAACTGATCTTGTATTTTTATTTACATAATGCTTTTTATTTTATTTTACACAGCAAAAACTGGAGTGTTAAAATTTCAGGGTTAAAGATGTTAGAGTTGATTTCCACTCTCAAAGTGTCATTTTAACACATTCTGATTCAAATAGTGTTCAGTGTTGGAGTTATTAAACAGTGTTATTCAAGTCCAAGCAAATGAACTCTGAAGAGAGTTATTTAACTTGGTAGGCCCCTGGGCTTCTGCCCAGGTAAACCCGTGGATCAATTAATAAGTTTGCTCTGCCGGGCCAATTTTCCATGTGCTTCTGCTGGTTACACCGTGGTGGATGCCTGCCGTACTCATTGGAGTATTTTACACAAACGGTAAGTTATTCAAACTTATATAAAATTCACGGTATTCTATCGGCGCAGTGAGGTTTTCTTGATGTTTCTTGGTGTTCGGTTGCTGAAAACGAGCTTTAATAGAGGAGGAGATGTGTCGAAAATTCTATTTAGCCTCCAATGCTAATGTTAATGTTGCAGTCTTTTTACTCGTGAGTGACGGTAGACACTGCACGTGGAAGCGCCGCGCCACGTTCAGCTTTTCCCCTGTTCACACAGACACGTCTTTCTCCACGCCAGTTCATGAGCGTTTTTGCTTCTCTGTTTATTCAGAGCAATTTTTTCACAATTGATAAGTAAATAACATCCCAAAATAATTAAAGAGAGCTTGTTTTAGTCACTCCTGCTTTTACTTTGACATCGTTCATCGCTGACTTGTCTCTAATCTGTCTCTCTCTCTGTCTCACTCTCTTCTCCCTTTGAGACACCCGCCCCAAACCTAGTCAGTTAGGCTGTCCCCTCCTTTGCGATGTGTTTATTTTCATCTCTATTGTCTCTTTTCATACACGAATCTGATCGCATTTGTCAATCGCAGTATTTTATTTTGGAGAATAGCTTTTATCTTCAAAATTGCCTGGATTGTCTTTTGTGTCTTGGTGTAACTTCCTGCGGAACATGCCTGGCCCATTGTAACACTGCATCGTGCACCTACACCACCCAACATATATCTAAATGTTTTTATTGGTTTAAGTGATTCATCTAAGGAAGAAGCGTCTGTGTCATCCCAGATGTTTCCTCCTCAAACCCAAACCACAGCCACAGTAGAACCGAAGAAAAACTACTCAGCTGATACAAAAGACTTGGACAACATAGAAGCTTGCCCCCTGGAAAAGCCTGTGAAGAAAAAACTACATAGGTCAGTCCGTAAGTCTGATTCAGATTTTGGTTCTTATGACATCACTCTGGCATCTGATTATCTGTCTGAAGAAAAGATGTGTGTTTACAAAGTTATTCAGTTGGTAGTTTCAGAGGCCCCAAGCAAAGCCTCGTCTAAATACAAGGACTTCACACAGCGGCACAATCCCGACTCTATCAGCGATCGCCTGCGCGAAAAACTCTGGCCTCAAATTGACGAGAAAAATTTGGATCTATCTCCAAAAAGGCTGACCAATATCAACAGGGACATTTTCACCAATCTTTGTAAAGCACATAACTGCAAGGAGAAATATTTGATTTTATATCTGAGCGAACGGCTTGATGATATTACTGTCCCAACGTTTACAGAACCCTTGTTGACTTTACCAAAAAGAGTACTCACTATATCTGAAAACCGAGAAGAGTACATAAAAGTTGTTGAAAGCTTCACGAAAGATTTGGTTCTGCACGCTATAAGCAATGCAAATGAGGCAAGGGAATTGCCTCCAGGGGCTGATAAAGCCATTATGAACAGGTTTACCAACAGGATTTGGGTTAAAATTTTGTCCCAAAACCTTAATATGTCCTTAGAGAACACTGAAGAAGTCAGTGTGAAAGTATACAATGAACTCCGGGAAAAGTGGAAAAATCCAAACACTGTGCTGGAGTTAATGTTTAATGGCCAAGACAATATTGACAACGTGATTGTCAAAAGTTTCAAAAGAAATGCCCCACTGAAGAGACCTAATTTCTTCTCTAGGGTTTTCTTACGAGCACGTTAAAGTTTACCTGACACCTGCATCAAAAAAGCAGCGTTTTCAAAAATACCTGGGTATACATGTGGACGTAGCCTAAATGCATTACATTTTTTATTACAATTCTTCATTGTAAATGTTAAAATCAGACTACTTTAAAGTAATTGTCTCATGAACAACCTGGTTGATAATAATTTCACCACATTACATTATAACGTTTTTCTGTCCGTTATCCCGTCTTCCTTCTCCCACCCCAACCGGTCGCAGCAGATAGCCGTCCCTCCCTGAGCCTGGTTCTGCTGGAGGTTTCTTCCTGTTAAAAGGGAGTTTTTCCTTCCCACTGTCGCCAAAGTGCTTGCTCATAGGGGGTCATATGATTGTTGGGTTCTGTATTATTGTAGGGTCTACCTTACAATAGAACGCGCCTTGAGGCAACTGTTGTTGCGATTAGGCACTATATAAATAAAATTGAATTGAATTCAAATAAAAATTAATTTAAAAAAAAGTTTTAAAAGTGTACTTAGTTTTATTTGCTGTCAATTTGCCTAGAATGGAATATCAGATTAGAACGGCCTCTAAAATATAATATTTAATGTATTAAATAAATCAAATGATTTACAGAAAATAAAATTCAAAAACACTTTCATTTTCACTGTATCTGTATGGCTATAGAGGAGCTGTTATTATTTTGCCTGTTTGTCAGTGCTGGTATGAACCCTGCTGGTGCTGTGTTGATCCCTTTGCAAAGGTTTGAAGCTTCTTTCGATAAACCTGAGAAAGTCAGTTTGGGTCAATGCTCAGTGTATTTTTCCACAATAATCTTGGTGACGAGGATGAGATTTCTTGAGTGATTTTTGTTCTCGCAGGTAGACTCAATGAGTCTCAAAGAGCGCTTATGTCCGAGCAAAGTATGGAGTAGTGATGGGATTTCCGGCTCTTTTTAGAGAACTGGCTCTTTCGGCTCGGCTCACTAAAAAGAGCCGGCTCTTTCGGCTCCGAACCGGCTCTTCAGGTTGTTTTGTTGCTTTAATTAATTTATTATTAACAACAATATAAAATTATGCACAAAAGGAATTACTAATGTAAAAAAAGTGGTTTTATTTCTATATGTTTATATATAAAGATATGCGGTGGCCCCTAGAGACATAACGCGTACAAACTCCAAAACACATTTCTAGCATGAACTGAACTTCCAAAACAGAGCTACCTAAGATCACTTAAATTACACAATTGAAAGCATATGTGTATTGTTTGTGTATTTATACACAAGCGCTCATATATATTCAAATAATTTTAAAAAAATGTTCATTTACTTGTTACTACCGCACACCAAATCCAGTCGTTGGTACTTGCTGGCTTGTGTACCCACTAGGTAACAAAAGCTCAACACTGCGCGTAGCATTCTGGAGCACTTCTGTTGTGTTTTGTATTTTTATGTGCTTCTGAGTTTTTAGTGTTTTGGAGTTTGTACGTGCTTCAGGGTTTGTACATGCTTTAGAGTTAATACGTGTTTTGAAGTTTGTATGTGCTTTGTCTGTAGGGGCCACCGTAAATATACTTTTATTTATTCACTCCACATAAAATGTAATAAATAAATCATATAATACAAAAATCAAAATTCACATTTTAACTTTTAACTATTTAAATTTTCAGCTTTTTCCTTTTACAAATTTAAAGTGAAACAACACAAAACACTGCAAACCACAACACAATTAAATATAAATTAAAATAAGAAAACAACAAAAAAGATGCATATTCTCTGTCATATGGGCCTGCATGAATAAACTTTCTGAATCTTTTATCATCTGCAACTGAAAATAGTTGTGGATGATTACTATACCTTTCTATTCTGATGTTGTTGTCCCTGCCTCTTT